TGCTATTTCAGTCTTTTTTAATTAAAAAAAAACATGTTTAAGTCAACGTTTCTTTGTAATTATTTGTGTATTAATTGTAAATCCTATCCCTACCCACATTATTTGTGTATTAATTGGATAGGATTTACGATTAATACACAAATAATTACAAAGAAACGTTGACTTAAACATGACTTTTTTTAATTAAAAAAGACTGAAATAGTATCTATGTTCTCATTTGGGTTACACTTTACTTGAAGGGGTGTGCATAAGACGCATACGTGCATAAGAAACATGACACCTTCATAATCATGACATGATGACATGAATATGATGGATGTTTGTGACAACTGTCATTAAGTGTCAATGCAAATATGACGGATGTCTTTGTTATGACCCCAATACATCATAACCTGTCAGTGTCTTTGTCATGACAACTTCACTTTACTAAGACAACACGACCTGTCAGATTCATTATCAAACTTAAGAGAGCACCTAGGTTGGTTTTGACATTGGCTGTCATGAAGCCATTATAACTCTTTAAAGACAAATTCAATTAGTACTACGTAGTTGAGCTCATGAAAAATAGTTATAATAATGGCCTCATGACAGCCAATGTCAAAGCCAACCACATTACAGGTTAACTTCATTTAATGTCAAAGTTGTCATGACAAAGACACTGACAGGTTATGATGTATTTGTTTATGTCAAGAGACATATTTGCATTCAAAATGTCATAATTGAGCGAAATGACAGTTGTCATAAACATGCATAAACATGTCATGATTATGAAGGTGTCATGTCAGTCTTGCACACCCCTTCAAGTAAATTGTTACCCATATGGGCAACATTTTCCACAGTGCATCAACTTTAAAAAAATATATATTTAGATAAATATTAATATATAAATATTGCAACTGGAAAAATTTTGATGCATTTCAAGAAAAAAAAGGGCGACTTTTCACCCCAAAATCAAAGATTGTTTTACATACCACTTTACAATGAGTGTTTTTTGCTAATTCCCATACTGAAAAAATGTTTTAGTACAGGACTTACAATTTTCACTCAACACTTCATTAGTTAACATCTACATTCATTAACATGTCATGAACTAAGAATACTTCTAGAATTGATTCATTTCAACATTTACTAAAACATTATTCAAATCAAATGTTGCATTTGTTAACATTAGTCAATGCACTGTGAACTAACATGAACAAACATTGAACATTTCTATTTTTAATAACTAGGAATAACAAATGTATTGCTCATGATTAGTTCATGTTATTTAACATATGAGACCCTATTGTAAAGTTTTACTGAGATTTCTAGTAAATAATGACAAAGAAACACTAAATTAAAGATGATATTTTTACGTAAAAAGATGTGCAACAACTTTTACAAAAATTAAATTAGCATACATTGAAGGAAGTACAAGAAGAACTGCATGATGTATAAACGGTTTACAATTTAAATACCTGTAATCTATCACTGGTGTTTTGCATTATGATTATAATGAGTAGAAATGTGTTGAAAATAACGTCACAACACTACAATACATGGTGCTGCAAAAACTGGCTTCATGTTTGTGCATATTAGATGATAATATAAAACCTCTCTTATTGATTAATCTGACTTTGTGGTGAAAAGTGAGCCGGATAAGATTCACGACTTTAAATATTACAATATTACTGACATTATAAAAATTTATGAGGTCTAATTTGCAAAAAACAAGCATGCATGCATATTGTGTATTGCAATTGCATGCATTTTAATATTTTTTTTCCAGTGAACATCTGTTTATTGTTTTGTTGTTCGAATGTAACATTCCTTTTGTCTTTCTTTGGGTCGGTTTCTTTACTTTTTTTTACATTGGGACATGTTTTGGTGTTATGTTTAGATATGTGGCTAATGATTCGGTGATAAATTGTAATGTGCCTTACAAACATTCTTTAATTTGCACATGGCAGTTTAGATAATTTGCATTTGTGGTTTCCTCCTGTATTCCCCCTGTCCTTTCTAATCTGGGTCTAGACAATCATTTCTTCTTTTTTCTGACGTCAAGCATTGTGTTTAACATGAATGTACATAGATGAAAGGAATGGTTGTGCAGAAATGTTGCTCAGTATTTTTTAAGTTTAAGGCCTGGTTTCACAGACAAGGATTAGTTCAATTAGGATGTTTATGTAGCTTTTATGAAAAGAAGAAAAAAAAAGACATGCATCTTGAGGCAAAACAATGACGCTGTCATAAGATATCTCCATGCAAGTTGCTTTCTGTTAAACAGCCCAAACGTTCATTTTAGTCTAAGACTAGCGTAAGCCTCGTCTGTGAAACTGGCCATTAATGGTCTGAGTAATGCAGTTAAACAGGTTTGGCTGCAGACTTTTAATTACCTGCAAGAGTCTCTTTATTTTCTCAGCATTTAAAGGGACAGTTCACCCAAAAATGAAAATTCTGTCATTATTTACTCACCCTCATGTTGTTCCAAACCTGTATATGTTTCTATGTTCTGCTGAACACAATATGAAGATATTTTGAAGAATGTTTCTAACCAAACAATTTTGGACCCCATTGACTTCCATAGAAAGAAAACACTATGGAGGTCAATTGTGCCCCACACATGTTTGATTACAAACTTATCATAAACGGTGACAGAATTTAATTTTTGGACACAGCAACGCAAAATTTCCAGGGACAGTAAACTTCTAAGTTGTGAAATGCTGACATGTATCCAAAGATATTCACCGCTTGGAGAGTTTCCAGGGGTCAAAGGTGTTTTGCTATTTTTTTCAGCTGACCTTCTCTGCGCGATCCTCTGTTTCCTTTCTGTGTTTTCCGTTCTGCGTTTAAGGAGGAAAAGCTGACATGCTTAAAAGAGTTGCCAAATGTTTTTCAGTGGGAATTGATCTGAAATGCACTCTTTTCTTGTGTTATTGAGTGTCTGAAGTGTGTATTGCTTGCTCTAGTGACTGTTTCTCTTTTGTACGGGTAAGACAATAATGCAGATATGTTTGTAAATCTTTTGTTTTCCTAAAACAAATTGTAATGCTATCTCTAAAAGCCATATTCATTTTTTTTATCTTTTAGCTTTGAGCCAAAGATGCAGTCGGTCAGGAGTTTAAATACCAAATCACATCTGTGTAATTCTGTGTTCTCTGATGTAATAAATTTATGAATAAGGGGTACTTTTTTGATGACTTTGTTTCCCAAACATATTTTTAAAACTGAATTTGTATGTATGTAGTGTGTATATATTAAACCTGTTAACATTTTTAATTGTCATTAAAATAATATATATATATATATAATTCAGAAAGTTTTTTAATGACATTTAAAAATGTTAAGACACTGGCAGTAGAGGAAATTAATTCATATGAATTGTATCAATATTTTTCTGAGGAAGGAGTTTATTTGTGAGTCGCTTATAACCCAAAATTTCTTCAAAGTGAATCAAATGATGACCTTTTTCCGTTTGAAATGCTATATATTTCATCAGGATCTGTCTGAACTGTTTGTCTATCTGCTCAGTGAACAGATGCACCAGCTGGATGTCCGATCAAATAAACCTGCGTTTGTTTACTTTCAGAGACCTTCACACTTCGCTGGCAAACAACAATTTTAAATGTACATAAGATCTGAAACAAAAGTAATATTTTAGTGAGTCTTATCAAAACAAATAAATAAATTCAGAAGTTAACAACTGAGATCATTGTGTCTATGCAAACCAACCTGAAATATTAAATTGCAACATTGTAGTTCTAGTACTAGAGTAGTTTTTCACTAGGGGTTGCTCCTGTCGATACAGGCTACCACATGTAAATATAGATAAACTAAAATTGACACTCACCAAGCACCAAATTCAAGAAAAACTGGCGTCAATTGTGTCAAAAAATAGTGAGTATCATAGTATACATAGTTGAAGTCTTAAGTGAACGTAAACAGTTGAGGAAGAAAACATGTGAAACCATATCAGTTTATCGATTCCCTTTTAAAGTGACAGTAGCCTAATATCCCTGAGGCTGTTTATGATTTTAATGTGAATCAAACGAGAGAAAAAACAACAACACTGCTCTGTGTTATATTGTTCATTGTATTTATTTGGTCCTTTGCTTGTAATTTGACTTTGTTCTTAATTTATTTACTGTTTGTTTACTTTCTTTAGAAATGTTTTAAAATTATATTAGTTAGGTTAGTAGTTTTAGTTGTGATGGGGTGACCAACTGTCCTGTTTTTCCAGGTCCTGTTTACAAATAACAATATAACAATTTTCTATCCATAAAGAGGAGGCATAACCTACTTTAAATGTATTGAAATTAATAAGGTATCTTTGAGTAAACTTCGAGTATCATTTGAGTATATAGGCCCATCTGTTTGCCGGGCCGAGTGTCCTGGTTTTTGGTAATCAAAATATGGTCACCCTAAGTTGTGATATCAAAATTGCTAAAAAGAGAATTGTGAATTTTCACTGCTATCTAAAATGTTGTTGTCATGACTCTTTTTGCATAGGCCTAGTTGTATAATACAATATGAACCAGTTTACGTTCTTTCTAAATAGTCAGGTATGATAGAACTAAATAAGTAAGATATTTAAGCTTTGTGTCGTGTATTTTAAAATAAATATCCATTTGATTTAATTGATTTTGTGCTTCCCAGAAGTCAGATTGCCGATCGTTGTCACGTGATATCTGAAACTTTTCTTATCGTGTATCTGAATGACCCAATCACAGGCGTTTGTGTTTACTCGATGGGCCTTTTTATAATTATAATTTTATCTAAATAGCTGCACTCGTTTCCACTTGTAAGGCGGGTACTAATCTTTAAAAAAAATTATACATTTAATAGATTAAACTTTTAGTGTATAAATCTGAAAATTAAGGCAAAAAGGTCCCCTGAGCCGCCAACTGCCCCCTGTTGGAGAACAACCAACCGTCACTAGGCAAACACATTTGTCACTCAGCGAATTATCTCCAATCCTAAAACCCTGCAGCCAATCAGAGTTTCCGCTTGGCGTCACGTGACTCGCTCAGAAGCGTGGAGTGGAAGCGCTGTGGGCTTGTGAAAAACTCTTGCAGCTTCATGGCGGTATGTGGCGGGCAACAACAACACACAATAAAAACAATAGAGTTTCAATTTAATTAATGGCGCAGGAATGATGGAAAAGACTGAAGAACCCCCTTCCTTAAACACCGAGGAAGAGAGTTCTGAAAAAGACAAAATATGGTGTTTACAGCGCGTGGGGAGAGACTGTGACTGGCTGCATCTCTCCGAGGACTCTGAGGTGCATGTTTACAGAATAAACAGCATGAATGTATATATTTCTATACTTATATTCATATACTCAGTTTCACATTAAGATTTCTGAGGCTAAATTAAGCCTTACGTTGGGCTTTGTAGCTGTGAGTTTGTCGGATACAATCCAAATAAAAACAACACTGAACACCATTGATGATGCAGTCAAAACTGTGAATTATGTCCAGTTTAACTCAAACTGAATGAAATGTAAGGCAATTTTAAGAAACACAGCTGTTTGTCATAGGTTAATGGCTCAATATGATTTCATAATGTACATTTATGCTTGCTTACTGCTCTTTTACTCAGGTTTCGGTTGGTCGTGGTCTGAATGTGACCCATCAGATTCTGTCAGCCAGCTGTCCACTGATGATATCCAGAAATCACTGTGTCTTCAAGCACAACGACGACGGACAGTGGACAGTGACGGACAATCAGGTGTAGTATGAGTCCGTCAGTCTATCAGTCTATATGTCTGAGTGTCCATTCCAGCATTTTATGGGCTCTGGTTCCATATCAATTCTCCAAATGATTTCAGTGATTTCAAATGTCCTAAAGAGATAAAACCCTCAATGGCAGTGATCAAGCAAATAAATATAGTAAACAACGGGATAAAAATGACACTATTTCCATGTTTGGCCAAACGTTTTATGTACGGAAAAGCACATTCTCTCTCCTGCTCAACACACACAGTACGGACACACACTTGTATAGACCATTTCACAAGATGTAAACAACACTGGTCCAGAAGGACTTCCTGTTTCAGTTTGTAACTGTTTTCTTTATTTCACATGTAAAGAAAACATCTTAAAGATTTTATGTAGTGTAAAAAAACTGAAACAGGAAGTGCTTCTGGACCAGTGTTGTTTACATGGTCTATAGAAACATGTCGTCAGCGCTACTCTGAGGATTTAATCAGTAAAATATTGTTGCAACTTTTAGTTTTAAAAAGTTTAACTAAAAAGTTAAAAACTTACAGTTTTAGTATTAGTAGTAGAGATATTGCTGATGAACACTGTTGAGGGACACATAAACTCACACGCTGAATATCTTTCTCTCTCTCTCTCTCTCTCTCTAACATCTAACCTTGGGTATGCATTATTTTTCTAATAATTTAATGGCCTGGTGTCAATTCTTCCTATATATGGCAAAAGTACATGACAAAATACCTAAAACTGAAACAAATGAAAATATAAAAATAAAAGCTAATTCAAAATATTAATAAATACTAAAATAGTTTATAAATGATACTATGATAATATGGCGTTAGTGTTATTTTAGTATCATTTCTAAACTAATATTTTGAATTAGCTTTTATTTTTATATTTTCATTTGTTTCAGTTTTAGGTATTTTGTCATGTACTTTTGCCATATATAGGAAGAATTGACACCAGGCCATTAAATTATTAGAAGAATAATGCATACCCAAAACCTAAATGTAAATAACACTAATAAAAATGACAAAAGTACATGGCAAACTTAATAAAATGAGAATATAAAAAGCAAATTCCAAAATATGAATGCATTCTATTGTAGTGTATTAATCATACTGAAATAAAAATAAACCTCAAAATAATTATCTAAACAAAATCGATAATAAAAATCAAAACTTACTAAAATTAAAATGAGCTAATAAAGCTAAACTATGAATTAATATTGTTATAGAACAATCATGTACAAAAAAAGTTACATTTTTTTAATTAAAATGGAAAAAAATATGAATAATTATTATAATAGTACCTTATTATACTAAAATAACACTGGTGTTATCTATATAATAATAAAAAAGAACTGTAAGTGTGCTTGTATGTTGTTTTAATGTTTTTGTTTGTCTTTATACCCAGAGCCTGAACGGCGTGTGGGTGAACGGGAGCCGTATACCTCCAGCGAATCCCTTCCTGCTCCATCAGGGAGACTCTGTGAGACTCGGCGTCCCTCTCGACGGCAACCCCGTGGAGTTCGACTACACCCTCGTGCGGAAGAGTTACAACGAAGTCAAATCGTTCTTGTCTGGGAATCTTGACAAAGAGTCTGGCGCCGCTCCTGTAGCTCAAAAACTGAAAAACTCTAAGAGGAAGTTGGATGGTGGAGACGACGAGTCGGAGCCGTGTCCCACCAATCAGTCCAAACCTAAGCTGTACCGATGCTCCTCTTCGGATAAGTCACGTGCGCAGGCCTGCCCATCCGGGGAACGCCGGGAAACTGCCAAGTTTTCCTCTAAACCTCTGGAGGAGGAGCGATGCGGTGATGCAGCGGGAAGCAGCTCGAGCGCTAGCACTGATAGCAGCCAGCAGCTGGCTAGCGTTCACCGCTACAGCAAGAGCCTGATGGTCCTGAAGAGTCGTGTTGGAGACACGCAGAAGCGCGCGGCGGAGCTGGAGCGGCTTCGGGATCAGACTCCGGAGAGAGAGCGGGAGATGCAGGAGCTGCAGACGCAGCTGGAGGTGTTGCGGGGTCAGCTGAGGTCGCAGAAGGAGCAGGCGCTCAAACGCATCGAGTGTCTGGAGAAATCCTTCTGTGAGGAGGAGCGGCGCCTGGAGGTGAGCCGACATCAAGTCAAGTCAGCTCTATTTATACAGCGCTTTTTACAATACAGAGTGTTTCAAAGCAGCTTTACAGGGATAACAGGGAAATAATGCAAAGTTGTTTCCCGAAGAAAATAGCATCAGTAAGCTCAGTGATTAATTTTTGTTGTAAAAAAAGTTAATTTTGTTCATTTTTATATATACTGTGTGTCTATATATATATATATATGAAGAGTTCAGATGCAAAAGCCTCTAAATGCCATTTGAAATTTTCTTCTTTAATGATGATTTTTGTCAAGCTTGTATATTTAAGTTCAGTTATTTCACTTAAATGGCAATGATAATTACCTATTAATTGTTATTTAAGTAAAATTACTGAACTTGAATATACAAGTTTGACAAAAATCATCATTAAAGAAGAAAATTTCAAATGGCATTTAGAGGCTTTTGCATCTGAACTCTTCATATATATGTATATATATATGTCCCTTTGCCAGATGTTATTATTAGGCCTAAAACTAGACAGGAGGGTAAAACAATAATAAACTATATTGTATATAATTGTATATAAAAAAATATATAGATTGTTATGAGTTAATACTATTTTAATGAAGTTATTAATAGTAATAATAGAGGAAGCAGCATTAATCTTTATTAATAGAAGGGACGGTGTACATTAATCAATATTCATGAATGTAAATGTACCCAAATTAGCCCGAACGCTAGTTTAGTTTTCATCGGAAGTCCTTTTTCCAGATGTTATTAGGCCTAAAACTAGACAAGAAGAGGGTAAAACAATAATAAACTAGAACTTATTAACAACTATATAAAATACAATTAAACATATTATAAACACAATAAAAAAAAAATATATATATATATGTGTGTGTATATGTATCTTTTTATTTTTTTATTGTGTTCATATCATCTTTTTGTAAATGTTTAATTGTATTTAAACATATTATACAACATTATGTATAAATTGTTATGAGTTAAATAATACTATTTTACTATTTTAAATAGTAATAATAGAGGAAGCAGCATCAATGTTTATTAATAGAAGGGATGGTGTACATTAATCAACATTCATGAATGTAAATGTACCCAAATTAGCCTGAACGCTAGTTTAGTTTTCATCGGAAGTCCCTTTGCCAGATGTTATTAGGCCTAAAACTAGACAAGAATGTAAAACAATAATAACAATAATAGAACTAGAACTTGTAAACTACTCTAAAATAAAGTTAAACATTATAGAAAAAGACGCTATATGTGTAAACAATAAAAAAAGACATGCAAGATATTGTTATGAGTTAACCCCTTAACTGTCACCGTCCCGGTACCGGGACACCTAAATTTACTTCACTATATTTCTATTAAATCCTAATCTAATTATGACAAATTATATATTTTTGGAAAGGTCTAAGACTTCTAAATAGATATTCTACCCCTGTTTTGTGTTAAAAATTATGTAGGAAGAGTAATTGACGAATTTATGACAAGAGTGCACCTCAAAAAATCTGCTTCATAACAGGAGTTTTGACCTTTGTCACAAAAAGTCGATGCACCCACTTTTAATCATTGAAACTTCTGTTTTTATGCTAAAAGTTCATAATAAACATATAATCTAGTATTTTTCAATAAAAAAATAAAAAAATATAGTACAATATTATCCTCTAAAAATGATAATATTTATATTTATTATCCTCTAAAATATATTATTTTTATCACCTTTTTTTATTATATCACATATTTTAGTAGTTATCATAAATTAGGTATCATTTGAAAGCTTATAAACTCAGAATTCATCGTGTGAAAACGGTTTTATAATTGAAAGTTGCGTTACCATAGAAACGGTACTTATTTTATCAGGCTCCTCCCCTTTTGGGCATCTATATATTTCATAATTTATAATCAAAACCTTTTCTAATCTTGACAAAACTGATATTGTCAGAAAGGTCAGAGTCTCAAGGTTCCAAATTTTGTGACAGAATTGATATTTGGACAGAAATGTATTAATTTGTTAAGGCAAAATGTATACAACTAAATTCAATGGAATTCAATGGCACCCGGTGGCTATTTTTGGTACTACGCCTAAACAAAATCTCATGGGAACTTCAATTTTTGTGATATCAACTTCAAATTTGGAACATAACTTGATAAGATCTATGGCTTTGATTTTATAGAAATTTTAGAGTAAAAAATATTTTATAAAATATATATTTTATATAAAATAAAAAATATATAGTACAGTATATTTAATTTACTGTAAATTTAAACTTCCATAACTTTTTCATACTTTCATTTTTTGAAGTGTTTTCACTTCAGCAATATTCTGCTGAGTGTTTTCTTTAAAACAAGACCAAACTTGGGTATATATTCCAAAGCATTCTTAAATTACAACCATTACAATCCAATCAAAGTTGTGGTGTTGACCAGCGTTGCTATTATTAAAGGGATTAGTTCACCCAAAAATAAAAATGTGCCATTAACAGGGTTCGTACAGTGTGCTTATAGTACTTGGATTTGACTTTTTGAAATTGAAGTCTTGGAAAACCCTTGAAAACAGCCATATTTCTGAAAAATTGCTCGAATTACTGGAAGATAATAGGTTATATTAGAAAATAGTTAATTTTATTGATAAAATAATATACTGATATTGATATAGAGCCTTTTCACATGGCCATGAGCGTGATGTTGCTCATATAATTCAAGTATATGAGACAGCTTTCAGTGTTTTGATAAGTGAGATCCCTTGAAAACCAAAAAAGTAGTGTTTGAAAAGTCCTTGAAAGTCCTGTAATTTAATTTTACAGTATCTTTACAAACCCTGTGTTAATTTACTCCCCCCCCCTCAGGCGATATAATATGTAGGTGATTTATTTTCTTCAGTTAAACAGTAATGTTTTACCTGAAAGAAACCGTGGTCCTCACTCAAAAAAAAAAAAAAGAACTAGGGAGGTTGTGCACTTTACATAATATATTTATATGTAGATTACTTATAATAATTGTGTTATTTTACTTTTTTTTAGGGCTGTGCAAAAATTAATTACGATTAATCGCATCCAAAATAAAAGTCTGTGTTTACATAATATATTTGTGTGTGCTGTGTATAATTATTTTGTATAAATAAATACCTATGCATGCATGTATATATTTAAGAATTATTTGCGCTTATATTCTGTATATATATATATAAATACATAATCTATATTATACAAATATAAATATTTTATATATGAATAACACATTTTCTTAAATATATACATGCATGTGTGTGTATTTATATATACAAAATAATTATATACAGCACACACAAATATATTATGTAAACACAGACTTTTATTTTGGATGCGATTAATCGCAATTAATTTTTGCACAGCCCTACTTTTTTTTCTATTAAGATCTATGTAATTGTGTCTCAACTTAACAGTACAAAATCCTAATGTGTTGTCTAAACACAAACCATTTATGTTAAGGAAAAAAAATGTGTACATCCAGAGGGTGGCAGTATAGTGCGAGCCGACTGCCATTTTGCCCGAACTTAATTTTATAAGTTTACTTAATCCGTTTGTGTTGGATTACATGATTGATTTGTGTTGCCTTAACTGAAACTGGGCAGTGCTTTTAGTTCCCAGCATGCTCTGCATATTGTTGAATTAAGAGAGAATAAATGTTAAAATTAAGTGTTATTTTATATTTTTTTGAGAAATTTAGAAAAGGGGAAGACTTGATAGTGTGTAATAGTGTTTAATGTTAAATTAAATTGGAATTATTAAACCATTTAAATTACAGTGGGTTACCATTGTGGAGATGAGTGGAGCATTTTGTTTGGCTGATTTCATTATTTTCAATCGCTTTGATTGAAGGAGCATGTAAATCTTAGCATTCAAGATGCTAATATGTGCTTCTGCTAGCATATATCTAGCTAAAGTCTATCAATTTTATTAAATGTCACTGAATCAAATGAAATATAAATAGATGAATGAATATAATAAAATGCCTTTGAATCATGTTAGGAAATTAAATTGGGTAATTTAAAATTACATAATTCCATTATGTTGAAGTTACATGAACAAATTATGTTTGTTTAACGTAATCCAGTTATGTGGAACCTGTTGACAAATTAAAATTAATTAAAGCCAACATATAATTTTTTGGTGATTCATATAATGTTAATCAACGGCTACTGTCACTTTGAGAGTCAAAAAAAACAAAACCAGATTAATACCTGTGGCTCTTGATGATGCATTGACGTCGTATGAAGTGAAACTGAACATTATTTACAGTATTATTACCTGTTTTTAACCTGTTATTACCTGTGTTAATATTTACAGTATTATTATCTTATTATCACTAGAAAAATGACGCATTTCTTGTTTCTAGGATGATCCACCAATAAAAATAACATTGTTTACATCTAGTTTATTACACAAGGCTCCAGCTCATTATATAAAACCATGGTAGTTGTGTCTGTGCTGACTCGTATATGTTGTTTTCCCCAAGACTGAAAAAGCACAACAGAATGAGGTGGGCTTGAAAAAACAACTTGAGGAGGCATTAAAAGAGGTAAGACCATTACATTGACCATTACACTGCGATGTTTTACAGTTAAACGCAAGTATTATACAGCGATTTCCTTGACTTTGACAGCACCGGAAAGTTATTGAGGAGCTCAAACACGCTCGGGAAGGATTCAAGGAAGCTCTTCAAGCCAAAGACAAGGAGCTGGAAGTTACAAAGGTAATCATGGGAAAGTTGAGCATGAACACAGTGTGATTTTTAATCGGCATAGACAACAAAAAATGTAAATTTGATTAGTTCACCCAAAAATAAAATGCTGTTATTTTTCTGTAAAACTCTTCTAGCCGTTCTTTCCCTGTTAATGAAAGCGATTTGAAACTCTTTTAAGCTCCACAACAATCATGTCATGCAAACAAACATTTTCTTTGGCTAAAATGAGTGACCGGTGACCAGATTTTGTGAAGTAAAAATAAAATTTTTTGTGCAATAATTTGACTTCCTCCCACAGGAAGAGAAAGAGAAGGCCAAAGCTCAGAAAGAAGAAGTGGTCACACAGATGACTGAAGTGCTGGAGAGCGAACTGCAGTGCAGCGTTTGTTCAGAGCTCTTCATTGAGGTAAAAAAGAAAAGATCGGATGAAGGAATGACAGGGAAAGAACACAGACTTATCGAAAGATCAAAACTTTCTCTTCTATAAAAGTTCACTTGTGTCAAAAAGTGTGTAGGTGTAGAAGTGTAGGTTGAGTGTTTTATTGAAAAACTCCAATGGAAGTGTTCAAACAGTTGGGGTCGGTTTCACAAACATAGTCTTTGACTACGGCTTAGATATAGTAGATAGTCAGACTTCAGATAGACCGTTACACAAAGCACGTTAGACTCTGACTATGTTAAAGGAGTTGATGATAATTGCTGATAATTTACTCACCCCCATGACATCCAAGATGTCCATGTCTTTCTTTCTTCAGTCAAAAAGAAATTAAAGTTTTTGATGAAAACATTCCAGGATTTTCTCCATTAATGGACTTCAATGGGGTCCAAACGGTTCAAGGCCCAAATAAGAGTTTCAGTGCAGCTTCAAAGGGCTTTAAACGACACCAGACAATGAATAAGGGTCTTATCTAGCGAAAAAATCGCTCATTTCAAAAATAAATAAAAAAAGTTTAAGTTTTATAAACACAAATGCTCGCCTTTGCTCTGTTCTGTGATGCGCGCTCGTGACTCTCCTGTTCAAACTCGTTCATCAAAATGAACAAATCTTTTTTCGAGTCATTTCGTTCGTCGAAAAAAGATTCGTTCATTTTGATAATATATATATAAAAAAAAATTTCGTCTAAGTTTCTTTAAAATAAATCCTGCTTGTTTTGATGTTTCGTTTTTTTTTTTATGCTAATACATTAATACTGTGGCTAAAGTGTCCAAATACTACCATTTTAAAAGTCAGTAAGATTTTTTTTTTCTGAGTTTGGAAGAAGTCTCGTCTGCTCACCGAGGCTGCATATATTTGATCAAAAATGCAATGAAAACTGATTTCTATTCTAAAATAAGTGATTTCTATTTGAATATAATTTAAAAATGTTATTTATTCCTGTGACGAAAAGCTGAATTTTCATTATCATTAGTCCAGTCTTGGCCATCTCACTTATAAGTGACCAATCACAGATTTTGTTTTTAAAAGACCTTTTAGGATGGATTTGTGTAACGTCATGCCACAAAAATAAACTAGGTCCACAAATGTACTTTTTGCAATTAATATCCTGTTTTGTGACCTCTGTGACCTCTGACCCCTCAGGCCGTGACGCTGAACTGCGCCCACAGCTTCTGTCAGCACTGCATCCGAGAGTGGCGTAAACGCAAGGATAAGTGTCCCATGTGTTGGCAGACCATCACGTCTCAGACGCGCTCTCTGGTCCTGGACAACTGCATCGACCGCATGGTGGAGAACCTGAGCGCCGACATGAGAGAGAGACGCCTGGGGCTCATCAACGAGCGGAAAGGTGAGAGGTGCGTGACATCACCACGTCTTCTGTCTGATGCGGGTCTTTGAGAAGCGAAGGCTTCTGCATTTTTTAAAAATGAATTATAGAAATTTATATATTAAATTAAAGCTCCAATCTCCACAGTCCTCCGAAGATCCCGAAAACAAGTCTGTTGGTGCTTCAGTGACTACTTCGCTCAGAGAACCTGTCAATCATGACGTCACACCACCGCATCAAATAACTAACTAAAAACAAACTGATTTTAAAAACAAACTCTTGAAATTACATCAGCGTGATTAAAAACTACAATAAATGACAGAGTCCATATGTGAAGTGTAATTTAATTGTTTAGTTGGTCTCATGTGCGGGGTTTATGACCTATACTGGGACCGGCCACCGGGGGGGCGATCGAGACGCTTTGGCTTCACTTTTCAGGGCTTGTGAAACGGCACGCTTGGTTGAAACATTTAAGAGTAACTAAACCCTAAACCAACTTTTTTTAGTTAATGATCTGTAAGAATGGATCTTTATTAATACCAGTCATTGATTCGAGTAACTTTTTTGACATTTGTGTATAGTAACAATGTATAGTGTAAAAAAGTCTTAGTGCTGCCCTCTTCAGGTTCCTACTGCAGTTGATTTTTCCTATTGGATGTTAGCGGTTCTTCGTGACGTACATACGTTTCAGCTCACCACGCTCTTGGCACTATAAAAACCAGCTTGTTTCGTCAAAACCACTGTAGCTAGTCAGGAGTTGGAGTTGCGAGTATTGCAAACGGCCAGGATAAAGTGTTTTAGCATCTATTTCGTCCCCTCTATCTCCGCTGGGGTCAGCCCACTTTCTCAGCATTTTCAAATATTCCCAGTGGGTGGAGTCTGGCTCTGACCAGGGGTTTAGTTACCCTTTAAAGGTACTGTGTGTGATTTTTAGCGGCATCTAGTGGTGAGGTTGCGATTGCACCCAGCAGAAGTTACGGTGGCCGACAGGAGCCAGTTCAGCAATGAGGTTTCTTTACAAAGATAAATGAATAAATTAGCTTTACTTAATTATTCAGTAAAACAATATGTAATTGCGACTATTATTGTTACCTGTTCATCATTGTGTCAGTGTTTTATTCGCTGAGCAGCTTCTTTTTACGAAGAACAACATAGTTTAGGGCCACTGTAGAAACGTGTCGATGTAAGCGGACCCGTGGTGTGTGTAGATAGAAATGTCTCATTCTAAAGGCCCGTACACACCGGGACGAATATCAGCGCGCGTTATTCGTCAGCGTTTTTCAACACGTTTTTTGTGTTCACACCCAAGCGTTTTTCGCTGACGATGAGCCGAGCGAACATGCAAATTCATTCCTTGACATTAGATGGCGCTTAATGTAAAACAGAAATAATAATAGAATACTATACTAGGGTGATCATATCCATGTCTCAATGTTTTATTATGACAGATAGAAAAAATGAATGAAATAATGATAGAAATAATGTCTTCTGTATTAGAAAAATAAATATATAAATAATAAATAACTAAAAGAAATGCCTCCAAATGTAACAAAAAATAGCTCTCACAAACTTACAAAAACGAACTAACAAAATCTATTTATATCTTTAGTTTTCATCCTCTTTATCTTGTTTTTCTTCCTCGTCCACCTTGTTTGCCCATCTATATTTTGCTGTAGAGCTGATCTTTCCCAGCAGTTTTTTTTTGAAAACTAGGACATTTTCATCACTTAAAAACAGTCAGGACAGGACGTGGAAACAGGACATGTGTAACGCAAAGTTGAGATGTTGCCCAGAGATAAAAACATAGCAGTTGTCGGATGAACAGATGCACGAGAGACGAGAGTTGTCGTATTTCCCCGCGTTTAATAAAACCACTCAAACGTCACACTCGTCCTCATACACGGGGATCGAGCGAGAAAAAAAAAACACAAACAAACATCTGGTCACAATAGAAAAATAAAATAAAAGAAAGAATACAAAGAGTCGGTAGAGCGGTTATCTCCTCTCCTCACTTGTCAAAATCTAACTGACATTATGCACACTATGCGCAGTTCTCATCTCCACTCAGATTTCTGTAAAGCACAAAGTGATCGTTTTACACATGTCCCGAGAAAACAGGACTGTTGGTCACCCTATACTATACTATTATTACAGAAATACTAATATAAATATTATCTTATAGCTCTTTATGCTCCGAGACCGGCAGCTCAGCATTCATCTTGCCCATAGGTATCTTATCTCTTCTTCGCCGTATGTGTGCTCAAGACCGTTTTGTGTTTGAGCGCCCCCAAGTTGTGTTTTACTGTAACTTCAGAAGTACCAGACACGTGAGCAAACCCGCCAATCTCGTTGGTTGGATAGGTTTTGACGCGGCGCGTCAAACCAAAAAAACGAACCCGAGGCGTTTTTTTTAAAAATGACGCTTTTACGCGTTGCGTTTTTCGCGTCGGTGTGAACACTCACATTGGCGCCCATTGTTTAGTCACGAGGCGTTAAACGTCGACAAATAACGCGCGCGAAATTCGTCCCGGTGTGAACAGGCCTTAAGGTTCATTAAGTAAGGTCTTTATACACCACTGAAAACATTAGTTATGGATATGATATTGCATTTCTGTCAACAATCCTCCTAAATATTACACAATGCACCTTTAACTACGTAGAAATCATGGTATTTCCCCAGATGATTTGCTTACATTAAGAATTGCTTAAGAAAAAGGTTTCTGAAATGTCACATTTAAATATGCAAATGAGGCATTATCTAAATAAATATGAAGGATTTTCCATAAATTTCCAGAACTGAACTTTGGATAAAGACCGTTTCAAAATGTCAAAGTTTCATTTTCTAGACATACTAGAGTTAAAGGTTTTTACAGAGGGGATTTTGTACATCTCATTTTATCACTTCTTAAATGAGAACATCAAAAAAAAATGTTTTTATTATTTTTATTTTTTATAAATGCTGCATAAAATCAGGTAAATGTAATATATGAACAAACCCCTCTGTAAAAATAAATAAATAAATAAATAACAGATTGTAAAGCTGCTGAATTGGAGATTTCTGATTTAAACTCACTGCCTTTAAAGATATATGTATTATAATTGAAGTCTACAGATTCAAATAGGTAAAGTGGAATAAAATAAACACTTAAAGGGGTAAAAGTCCTCTTAAAAGTCCTCTGTGCCCACATTTGTCCACAATTACAGGATTAAGGACTATAAAGTGAATATGGTTTGAGGGCTACTAGTGTCTTTTTAATGTTGTCTGACATTATGAAAAGCCAAAAATCTCAAAATTGAGCAGTGCATGACAAAACGGGAGTGTCTTGCTTTAAATTAGTGGTGCTCAAAATGTTAAGGTCAAGTTACAAATGGTGCTATAAGGTCATACCTAACAACTGAATATCTAACGTGTGTTCTCAGGCCAGAAAGCGAGTGTCCCTCCAACAGTCGTGGTAATAAACGACGACAGCGACAGCAGCAGCAGCAGCAGCAGTGACGCTTTCTTTCAGGGAAACAGCTCCATACTCTCCGACTCCAACGACTCTCTGCTCCAACTGGTTCATTTCCCCAGCGATGACGACTCGTCCTGGTCCGAGGACGACGATTATCTCTGAGGAACACTCGTGAACAACAGACACGGCTCGTTTGTTTCATTTAGCCATGCTATTTTTATGTTTGTAGCTCACTGTATGATTTGTTTTGGGCTTTCTGTGTTAAAATAAACTTTACAATTATTTTGCAATTCCATCCGTATAGAGCGTTCTGTGATAATTAAAGGCCAGTTCACACTGCATTGGCAACAAACGCTTCAGGTTTTGTCGGATCAGTGTGTTACCCTATGGCAAGCCGTGTTAACTTTTAATTTCCAGGATTGAATTCTTGGTATCAGCAAGTCAATTTTCACTATTTCAAATTATAGTTATTGATATCAGGAATTACTTTTATTCTACTAACAATGGCAGTTTTTGATATCAGATATTACATTTCCACTTGTAACAATGCTAATTCTCATAGCTGTCAACCCTCCCGTTTTTTCCGGGTTTCTCACGTATTTTTGCTCTTTTCCCGCTGTCTTCCCGTTTTAGTATCTTCCCGTAAAATATCCCGTTTTTTTACTATGATTGTGTGAGACGTTCGAGCTCGGGCTGATTCGGCTTGAAGTCGTTTATCCTCGGATGCGGCGCCGCGCGCGCTGGCCGGAGACACACTGGCTGTGTGGCGTGTCCGTTTTTATTTCGGCTCCCATGTTAAGAGCTTGCACACTGCCTGCGTGACACGCGCGTCTCCAGAAAACGCGTGCATGCTAGAAATAGAACTGACGCCTATTTTTTCAAGCGACATGCAAGCGTGTTGAAAGCGTTTCCAGGCAAAAAAATAAATAAAAAATAGGAAACGATGTTTATATGTCATTTTGTACTCGAATAGCCTACATTTTACATTTTGATGTTTGAAAGTCAAGGTTTTTACATAAATTCAGATATCAATGTAATTTAAACAAATAATAATTATAATAGCCTAATCGATTTATATTGCCATTAGTTTTGCCTATATATAATTTAAGGTCATATAACATATGAATAAAATATCTTTTCTTTTTTTTCCATTTGTTTCTTATGCTCTTAACAATGTGATTACACGAAGAAGAAGAAAAAACTTTTGGAAAAAAAACGTTCTGGGCCTCAGGAGGATATAAAGATACGATAGGCTACAATAACAACAGTGTGTCTTCTGAGTGACGGTCCACCACCAGGCTAAATATAGGCTCTTTAAAACTACACAAAATGTGTAAATGTAATTGAAATAAACAGACAGCCCACTTCCCTATTTTGTGGGTTTTGGAAGATGTGATAACAGTTGAAATTGTTGTCGCAAAGGCAAGAGCAACACACCACTAATCCAAATGTAGATTTTTTTTTTCTTTAAATGACACTAGTTTCTAGGCTAGTTATTAACTCTTTAGACTTTTAAGGATTAGTGCTTTATTTTTAAAGTTTGTGGGTAAGAATCGTGTAAAAAAAATAAAATCCCTTATTTTGGGGATGGATTCCGGGAAAACTCCCTTATTTTCAGTGTTCAATGTTGACAGCTATGCTAATTCTTGATATCAACAATTAAATTGCTATTAGTAAAAATGTTACCTTTTGATATCTGAAAATGTATTTCTGTAATATAATTATATATATATATATATATATAATTATATATATCTGTAATGCAATATAATTTCAGATATCTAAAATGGCTTTCTTACTAGTAAAAATCACATTCATGATATCAGAAATTGACATTGTCAGTTGTAGCAATTCAATTGTTGAGATCAAGAATAGACATTTCAACTAATGAAAATTTTGTTCTTTATACTAGTAAGAATTGCATTACATCTGATATCAACAATTGAATTTGAATGGCAGCCTATGGTGAGATTTCACTAGTAAAATACAGTCACAGATATCAAGAATTGTAGTTTTTACTAGTTGAAATTTATTTGTTGATATCAATAATTCATATCCTGGAAGTTAATAATACGGCTTGCCATAGTTACCCTGCCTGTGATTGTGTGTGAAGTGACGTAGAATGACCTGGTGAGTGTATTGAACTATGAAGCTGCACATTTTCTCATTTAAATCCATTTAGCTGTATCCCACAAAGTTTCTCAGGCATTTTTTAGTTTGAACACGCTTGTACACACTGAAAGCGAATGATGTGACCAAGTCTGTAATTCCCATTATAACGGATGAGGCTGTCTGTGTGAGGTATTGATTGTTGGTTTTAATGGGAACATGCTTTTTTGCTGCATTGTCCAGTGTCTGACACAAGAGGGCAGCAGTGAGATATGAGGGTTTGTTTCACGGAGATGTGTGTTCACTCATTCACTGCACTGAAGATGGGCCGTACATTGTAGAAAGGGTTTTTCGTGGTCACACTGAACATCAGCCCAATCCTCCAGATAGTTCACCTCTGCATCGCCATTCAATAGTTTACGTGGCAAATAGGCCGTTTCACCCATGGTACTCCCTCTCTGAGCCATCACTATCACAGAAGTGCTGCGCTTCTCACTCAAGGCCTACTGAGAAGGAAATGAATAGTTGAATAAAGTCGTTCTTTTTGTTTGTTTGTTTGTTTTGCGCACAAAGATACTGTCGTCACTCGGACTATTTTAACGATGTCTTTACTAACTTTTCTGGGCCGGGACGTTTCAGTCTCTTAGAAGCCTCAGATTTAATAAAAAATTACTTAATTTGTGTTCCGAAAGTCTAACAAGAGATTAGTTACTGACAGAATTTAAATTTTGGGGCGAACTAACCCTTTAACCACTGTTTACTTCTAAAGGCACAGAATCGGCACGAGCATCTGTCGAGCGCCAGCGCTGTGATTCACCAATCGGGCCGCGTGCGTGAGAGCGCGCGTCACCGCCAACATCTCGAGCTCTTCGTCATCGTCACTCCAGTCTGTTAGTACTCACTACATGGGAAGCGTGTGTGTTGTCATGTGGGATTACACTGGGACGACAGTGACGGGCCACGGCTTGGCTCTTGCGCTCTTGTCATTGATGTGTCGTGAACATAGGGTCGTGAAGAGAAGCGCGCGCTAGCACACACACTATGGCAAGCCGTTTTAGCTTTTATTCATTTCCAGGATATGAATTCTTGATATCAACAATTAAATTTTTTGATATCAAGAATTTAATTGTTGATAACAATTATTGATATCAACAATTACATTCTTGATATCAACAATTACATTTTTGATATGAAAAATGTAATTCTTGATATCAACAATTGTATTTTCACTAGTGAAATGTCACCATAGGCTGCCATTCAAAACCAATTGTTGATATCAAGAATTGATTTCTTACTAGTTGAAATTCCAATTTCACATATCAGAAATACAATTAGCCTACTAGTAAAAAATGTATTTTTGATATCAAGAATTCAATTGTTACTAGTTGAAATGTCTATTCTTGATATCCACAATTGAATTGCTAGTAACAATGTTCATTTTTGATATCAATAATTAAATTTTTACTAGTGACGATGTTAATTTCAGATATCATGAATGTGATTGTTACTAGTAAGAAAGCCATTCTAGATATCTGAAATAATATTGATATCAGAAATACATTTCCAGATATTAAAAATTGTAATTTTTACTAGTAGCAATTGAATTGATGATATCAAGAATAGACATTTCAACTAGTGACAATTTAATTATTGATTTCAGGAATTCACATTTTTACTAGTAACAATGTATTTATGGATATCAAAAATGATATTTCTACTAGTAAAAAATCAATTCTTGATATCAACAATTCATTTTGAATGGCAGCCTATGGTGACATTTCACTAGTGAAAATACAATTACAGATATCAGCAATTACATTGTTGATATCAAGAATTCATATCCTGGAAATGAATAAAAGCTAAAACGGCTTGCCATACACACACTCACACACACACTCTCTCTCTCGCTCTCTCTCTCTCGCGTGTCATGTTGCATTGGTAGTTAATGCAGGAGTGCCGCAATATGAGTGACTCGATCTCTTTTTAGGAAGATTCCAATGAAATAATCAAACCGTGAGAAGAAGCGCGTGACTGTGCTTGTTGAAGCCGCCTGCAAAGGCGTTTTAACTTTAACTGATCAATTCAATTTTCACTAGTTAAAACGCTAATTCTTAATATCCGGAATTCGATTTCTACAAGATACAATGACATATTTTGATATCAGGAATTAAATGTTCACTAGTAAAAATGACGTCATCACTCGCGGAAATGCTTATTCTTGAAATCAACAATTGAATTTTAATGGCAGCCTGAAAATTCAATTGCAGATATCAACATTTAGTTTTTACTATAGTTGATATATTAAGAATTGGTATTTCTGTTAATGATGATGATCTAGAATGAGCTAAATTTTGGTTCTTTTTGTTGCCTGGATGCCAGTATGAGTAAGTCAGGCTACTCTTTTTGATGTTTCCATGAAGAACCTTTAACATCCGAATGCTTCCATTCTACAGAAAGTTCTTTATAGTGGAAAAAGCACTTCTAAGAAGAAAAAACAGGTTATTTCTAAGAAATGTGCACTGAAAGGTTCTTTGAGGAACCGGAAATGTTTCTTCCCGGTCATTGCTTGAGAAAACCCACTTTTGCAACCTTTATTTTTAAGAGTGAACTGATGCAGCAAAGCCCATAGAAACTAGTGTGTTCTGCACAGAACATGATGTTGTTTGTGTTATTATTTTTAAATTTAATAATTATTGTAATTAATGGGGTTATTTTTTAGTTTTCCATGAATTAGATGTACATTTCAGACATATTTGCTTTCATTAAAACAAATTAGGTGAGTGAAATAATTTTATTCGCATTCATAGTGTTGATATTATGACATATCTTCAATTAAAACATGGCCAGTTAAATATGTAAATATTCATATTACAGTCAGAGGATAATTTGACCTTTCAGACTGAACTGGCATCGGTTATTCAATTATTCAACTAAATTGTCAATTTTATTTTAAATAGAATGGTTGATTTAGTATTTTACATTAATGGCACTTGAATAGGAATTATATCAAAAGTCATTAATGTGTTCTGTAAAAGTTTACCCCAATAGTGGGGTTACGATGGCCTATTTGATTAATTTGACATTTTGTTATTCAAATAAATAAGCTCTAATCATTTCTTTTAATAACATTACATACACTTATATCTATACATATTGCAGATTAAAAGTAAAACCATTATTTTGAAGCAGGGCATCTTTAGTTAACCAGAACTGCTTCATGCAGATTTCTTTGTTCAAATCTCGAAGCTCAAATGTGGACCTTCTTTGGGTTTGTTTGTCTGGTATAAAAAGGCTGATGTGTCCAAACACGGATCCTGATGAAGCGTGACATTCGCTTTTGGGGCGATATGGACGAGTGCTGAAATCTCAGCAGTTTCAGGGTGTCAGTCGAGCGTTGTTCTCTTGCTGAGTTTATGGTTGTTCATGCTGAGGCTGACAGAAGCGTAATGAGGGTTTGGAGGTTAATGCTGATTATGCAGTTGTTTGTCTAGACGGTCAAGATGCACAATGTGATCTGATGCATATAGTGCATTTCTCTGAATATATGTATTCTGTCTCAAAACCTTTTGAGATGTGACTTTGATTAATTTACGAAAATGCGTTGATCATATTTCATCCAAAAATCAAAAGGGACAAATATTGTATTATGGATTAAGTAAATAACATCTGTTTTTAGGGCCACTTTTTGTATGACAGTCAAGCACTTTCCATCTTTGCTTTTATAATTGACACAATTTCCCCCTTAAAACTTTTTTTGTGTGTGTGTTTTGGTTGTTAATTTACAAGACAATGGGGTTTTGGCAGGACGAACAGAAACTTTTGAAAAGTGCAAGTTTTGTTTACACTTTATTTTAAGGTGTCTTTTTTCAACTATAATTATATATTTAAGTTCTGAGTAATATTACTTTCTATGGGTTTAGGATCAGGGTTTAGTTTGGTTGATTTATAGTTATTAGCATTTGTAACAGTGACGCTGTAAAATAAAGTGTTACCCAGTTTTTGTACTGTGTACGATTTTGTACAAAAAAAGCTAATTTGTAAAAATGGTGACATCATGCGCATCTTTTTCAAAAACTTGTACTTTGAATCCCGCTCTCAAAAGTTTGCATTTTCAGGCCCCTAAAACTCAGCTGTTGTGTAAATGAACGACCAGAACTCATAAAAAGTTTCTCTTTAGTTGAAAACGCTGTCGTGTTTTAATGTCGTCCTGTAGGCAATAATTTTATTCCTTAGAACTCATCTTTGATCACCAAAATTACATATTTAAAAGTTTTTTCCTTTTAATTCTCAAAATTCATTTTAAGCCTCAAAATATCTTCAATGTAGCTCGACACCCTTGCCTCATTTAGTATACGCGGTTCTATGAATATGCAAATGAGCCTAGTAAAGGTCATTTGTGACGTCAGAAACACCAGCGATTTCAAACTGTGTTTTTGAGACTGTCTTTGCTTCACTGCAATACTTTTTTTGCAAATGGGTATTCTTAAAGCATATTAAAAACAACACGCAGAAATAAAACAGCATTAAAAGCCTAATTTTCATGTGTATTTGTGAAAAACAGTGACGTCAAGTGACATCGCCATCTACTGGCCAGGAATGTACAATAGTAAAGCGTTTACGATGCAAAGAAAAAAAATGTCATTGTCATGTAAACGCACCCCAATTCTATTCTCAGCTAAAGAAAACAATAGTGGCATTATTATGTATATAGGCGCCCTATATAAAATGGTTCACCACATGATGATTCACTACTGTTTACTACATTAGGCAGATTTGGTGGATGATTAATTGCATTTGATGCAAAGTGTGTTATGAAATTAAATTGTTTAATTCATAAATTATTCATAATCTATAATCCTGAGATGATCTTTTCCCCAGGTTGTGTTGGTTTTGCACGCGGTTAGATTCAGGATATGTTACACTGAGGTTTGACCTAATTTTCAGATGTGTCAATCATCTCTCAAATACACATTTTTAATTCACATTCATTCATAATGCATATATTGTTATAAATGCATTTTTCATTCTTTGACTTGTTTACAGTCACTCTGATCATATGAATTGGTGGTTTTATGATCTGTAAATGTAGGTTATGTGTGTATATATCTTGTTGATGTCATCATGATCTCCCTTGAGCTTGGGAAAGGCACTTTATACTGATGATTATGATTTGCATGATCAGCCCCACATACAGGAGGTGATGCCCTCATTCACAGTGATTTTCACGTCTGTGAAGTGAATTCATGGGCTTGTGTGAACTGCAAAACACATTTGAAATGTAATTTATTGTGTGATGCAGAAATTAATTAATTGCGAATCATCACGTTACAATCTGAGCGATCTCCTTTTTTGCCTTTTATAATATGCGTTTCAACTTTTAGACTGACAGTCCTCGTTCTACATTCTTTCATTTTTACTTTGTCTTTTTCTCTTTTACATAGTGTGATGGATGTGTGGATAATGGTTTATTTTAATCATGTGTGAGGCTGGCGCGTGATCAGAGGCAAGTGACGTACTGAAGGGCGCGAGCACGTCTCTGCTACCATGGTAACATCAAACGTTACAAAGGAACGGAAAGTAAGTCGTAAAACTATTTAATCAATGAATTTAATGTATATTCTAATGTATGTTCTTTATATTTATGATACGAGTCATATTTAATGTATCTAATTGTTAAAGGAGTGTCAGTTTTAGCGGTATGTCTCAGAGTCAGTCTTCACGGACACCCAGGGGAATGAGGCCGGGGACCAGAGTCGCTGACGGGCGTAAAATGCGCACCTTGTTCGCGGAGGATCCGGAGTGGTCGCTGGCACTGGTTCCTTCACTAACAACACTCTGCCTACAGCATATTATAAAACACTTTGAAGGTAAACAATACAAATATAGCCTATCGTTTAGTTTATTCATTCATATAACCCACTACCACAAGTTTAAGCTTCAAATTCACTCTATATATCGGACCAAAAGAACTAAGAATTTAAACACACACTAAGAATAAGCTTCATATAAATACACTAACGTTACCACCAGTCAAAAGTTTTGGATTGGTGATATTTTTAATGTTTTTAAAAGAAGTCTCTTTAAAAGAAGTCTCTGCTCACCAAGGCTGTATTTATTTGATTAAAAATACAAAAAAAACAACAAAAAAAACAGTAATATTGTGAAATTTATTTCGGTGATCAAAGCTGAAACACACCCTAAGAATTAGCTTCTTATACACTCTCAAAAAATGAAGTTGTCACTTTGGCAGTATCCTTTCAGAAGCAACTAATATGTCCCATTTAGGTACTAATATGCCACTTTATGGGAAAATAAGGCACCAGATATAATTTAAAAAAAAAATTATTACTATTGGGTGCAGGACACTAGTTTATTTATGTAAGTAGTGAGGATAGCAAAATAAAGTAACTTGTGACATATAATACCCAAAAACCTAATTCATTTGTGAAAGTCTAACAGAAGAATGGATTTGATAACGTTAACTCTTATGTTCTTGTCATATTGTATTACCATTTTCTAAACTGTGGTGTATCTTTTGAAAGGGCACTGCCACAGTGACAGCTTTCATACCATTTTTTGAGGATGTATTGTACTAGTTTGCAGTTGTTATTAATGAAAGGATGTTCTCTTCTCAATATGCACATGAGCATGTTCTGTGCATTAATATTTTGCAGAGAACCCCATTCTGGATGAACTCAAGCCCAAGTATAAAGCATATGTCCTCCAGCGACTGCCAGAGTCTCTTCCCTTGACCGTCTGCGCAAACCTCATCAGCGATGAGAGCTACTGGAAGCGCTGCTGTGAACGTCGCTGGCGTATCTGTGACGTCTCCTCATACGGCAACAGCTGGAAACGCATGTTCTTCGAGCGTCACTTAGAGAACATCGTTGAACTCTTCATCCCAGATGAAACTGACACCAAGACAGTCCTGTGTCTGGTGCCACTGTGTCGAAACTACGTAAAGCGCCTTAATATCACTCAGCTGCTGCCGCCCATCAAAGAGCCGGCCAGTTTTGACGAGGACGATCGTTCGGATTGTGCCAGTGATCTGGGCAGTGAAGGACCCTCCATTGATCACTTTGATTTCCGCATTCTGCTCGACAAACTCCCGAACCTGGAAGAGCTCAGCGTGGTGTATGGAGTGAAAGCATGCGGCATGAACTTTGAGTGGAACTTGTTTGAGTTCACCTTCAGAGACTGTGAATCCCTGGCAAAAGCCCTCAATTCCTGCAAGACTTTACAGGTTCAGTTATTATTAGTGTTTTTTCAGTTTTCAGAAACATTTTATTGGCTATGCAAAATATAGGTTCACATTGAAGGGATAGTTCACCCAAAAAATTAATAATGTCGTTCCAAACCTGTAAGACTTTCGTTCTTCTTCAGGACACAAATTAAGATATTGTTAAAGGGACAGTTCACTTTGAAATTAATTTTTGGTATGTTTTATCTTACCTCAAGGGCATCCAAGATGTAGGTGTCTTTGTTTCCGCAGTAGTTTCAATTTTGATATTTTTAGGTCAAACCGTTCTTGTCTCTCAGTCATATAATGGAGGTCTATGGTCACCACCTCAAAGAGCATGCACAGAGAAGACAAAATTAAACTTGATTTAATGACTCGTAAATGTAAGTACACATTGATGGCCTAAGACACGAAACGAGCGGTTTGTGTGAGAAAACGAACAGAATTTTTATCGTTTTTACCTCTAGTAAGCACAGCCATAAAGTGTCCGCACCCTCAGATCACAGATCTGAGAAGAGGTAAAACGATATAAATACTGTACATTTTCTCACACAAACCGCTCGTTTCATGTTCTGTTTCGTTCTTCTTCATCATTTGTGTTCTGAAGTTGAACGAAAGTCTTACGGGTTTGAAACGACATGAGTAATGGGTGAGTAATTAATGACAGAATTTAAATTTTTGGGTAAACTAATCCTTTAAAATTCCCCTGTGGTGTTTTTAAGACATTCATAAGTCGACAGCATTGCTGAGTATTTTGCTGAGACCAAAGACAGTCTTAAAAACATGGTTTGAAACGACCAGATCAACGTGTGATCGTCAACCAGTGGATCTCTGAGCTGTGCGAGTGGAGGCGGGGCTCATTAGCATATTCATAGAACCGCATATACTAAATGAGGCAAGGGTGTCGAGTTACATTCAAGATATTTTAAGGCGTGACACATTGTTTTCCATGCATTTTTTTTTAAATATTTCATTTTGCTGATCAAAGATGAGTTTTAAGGGATAAAATGATTGACTACAGGGGGACTTTACATCTGTTTTTTCTGTCTAACACAAAAGGAGATGTTTATGAGAATGTTCACACTGTTTTCTTCATACAAAGAACGCATATAGTGACTAAAGACTGTAAAGCCCCTAGAAGTACAAAGAAAATTTACATTAACATGTATGCCTGGTAGAGCCCGACCGATATAAAACCGACCGATACAAATATTTGTTGGTTTTAAATTCCTATATATCGGCCGATATTATTATTATTTTTTTTTCAGAAACACACAACAAAATATTAACAGATTTCCCTAACATTAGTTATTTGTAGTTAATTATGGGTTTTAACTAAAATAATATGATAATGCATAACTGGTTCTCTCTGCCCGACTCTGGCTGGATGTGTGGCGCGTTATACACAAGTGTTGCCAACAGGGACGGTGTAGAGTGCCCTCTGGTGGACAAACTATACAACTCCAACACTCATGACATGATTCAAGCGTGTTTCGTCCGTTTTTATTTTATTTTTGAAATATTCATTTATCTGCCATTATAACTGCCGATACCGATAGTTTGGAAAATGCCTAATATCGGTCTGCCGATATATCGGTCTGGCTCTAATGCCTGGTCTTCATATAAAATCATGTTAAGACTCCAGAAGGCTTGAAATATATCACAACGTCATACAGTCCAGCTTTTTTTTGTCCTGCTGGCATTCGTCAGAGCATCGGTGTTGACATTTGGTTGAACTTTTCTCACCAGGTCTTCAGGATCCATCGCAGTAGGGTGGACGATGAGAAGTGTTGCCTGCTTGTGAGTCAGTTGCTGGATCACCCGTCCCTGCAGGAGCTGGACTTTTCCCATAATCACATCAGCGACCGCGGAGCCCGAGCCATCGGGAAACTTCTGAACCGTAGTCAGCTGAAGAGGCTGGTCGTCTGCAACAACCAGATAAGAGCTTCAGGAGCTCAGGCTCTGGCTCATGCTCTGGCCAGAAACGCCACGCTGATGTCCCTCAACCTGAGGCTTAACCACATCGGGGATGAAGGGGGTCAAGCTCTGGCTCAGGCTCTGATCAAGAACAAGACTTTAGTGAACCTTCACCTGGAGGGAAATAACATGTCGGAGCCCTCGGCCGCGGCGCTGTCTCAGGCTTTGGCGGAGAACGGGACCCTCAAGAGCCTAAACCTGTCCAACAACAGACTGGGAGTCGTGAGTAAACCTGAGAATATGAAATTGAACACATTCTCATCTAATTTCATCTTTTCAACCAATTCATTCTTTGCACGTGACGTCTCAAGCACTGGCTGGCGGGTTTCCAGCAACGAAACCCAGTAAACTAGTCAAAGATCTTGCCAGGACGTCGCCAGTTTTTATACAAAAGTTGGTGTAAATGACACGCCAGATAGCTGTTGTGCGATTGGTTGCACTAACCAGATGAGATAAGCAACCGTCACAGTGTAACGTTACACGTCTGATCACTCCATCTCTCAAGGTCACATTAGTTTGAATGCAATGGGTGTATGATCATGTAATTAATTGTGTATTTAAAGGAGTAGTTCACTTTAAAAAAAAACTTTTGCTGATAATTTACTCACCCCCATGTCATCCAAGATGTCCATGTCTTTCTCTCTTCAGTCGAAAAGAAATTGAGGTGAAAACATTCCAGGATTTTTCTCCATATAATGGACTTCAATGGGGTCCAAACGGTTCAAGGTCCTAATGAGAGTTTCAGTACAAACCAAAGGGCTTTAAATGATACCAGACGATGAATAAGGGTCTTATCTAGGACCCTTTGAGTCATGACTTGAAAAAAGATTCGTTCATTTTGATGAACGAGTTAAGTCACGAACGTGCATCACAGAACAGAGCAAGGTGAGCATTTGTGCTTATAAAACTTAAACTTTTTTATTTATTTTTGAAATGACCGATCGTTTCACTAGATAAGACCCTTATTCATCGTCTGGTGTCGTTTAAAGCCTTTTAATGCTGCACTGAAACTCTCATTTGGACCTTGAACTGTTTGGTCCCCATTGAAGTCCATTATGAAGCTAACTGTACGTTCACACCGCCGCCGCGAGAGCGGCAAAACTCATTGAAAAATGAATGACTTCTGGGCACTTTGACACTATCGCCGGTGGCGGTGTAAACGCTGCTGTCGTATTTTGCTAATAACAACAAAAGGTTGTTTTGAGGTTTGTGATATCTATGGTTTTCTTACTCAGTAATTTTATCTTGTTCCCAGTACAAGAAAAGAAGACGCCAAATTAAACAAGAACAAAGGGGAAAAAATAAAATAAATAAAATTACTATTAAAACGGGGAAAAATACCTAGCCTGCCAATATGGTAAGAAAAAAATTCTTGAAGGTTTATTTTTTTCTTACCCCATTAGCAGATATGTTTCTATATTTTTAGCACCACTTCATTTTGATCATTCTTTCAGAAAACGTAATATTTTGTATGTGTATTTTTGTTATATTTTATTTTCTCTTATCTTTTTTTGACTAAACAAATATCTAATCATTCTTCAAGTAAGATAAAAAACATGATTTTTCTTATACTCAGTATTTTTGTATTGTTCAAAAAACACAAGATGTTTTCTGAGAAATGCATCAAAATTAAACAAGAAAAAATGTATAAAACAAGAAAAAATGGGGTAAGAAAATAAACGTTTTTGTTTTGGTAAATATTTTCTCTCTAAGTTCACTAAATTTTAATCAAATATTCATAAAACAATACTCAATATTTAGCTATTTTGCATCTCAAGTAAATGTATCTTGATTTAAGAATGTTTAGATGTTTGTACTGGAAAACAAGACAAAAATCACTTTTTGCATTAAATTATTGCAGTTTATTAAGACCTTTCCTGGTTCTTATAGAGTAAACAAATTACTGTAACAAGTATAGGAGCATTCTGGAAACCACCACTGCATCATAATGCAACATTTGCTTTCTCTAATATTCGCGGAAATGGAAAAACAAAGGCTGTTTTAAAGCATTTAATTGTCTGTAAAGAGATGAATATGAAACGATACAGCCCTGTCGTTCACGTTCAATATTCATGGAAGCCGGATAGATGTGCGCTAACACACAGACATGTGGGATGGGGATTACCTCTCTCCTGGGACGAGTCGTCCAAATGGTTCCTGCATTTATCTGCTCCTTCCATCTCCGTTTCAAGGCAAATCATATTTCAACAACAAGGAAAGAGCTCAGGCGCTGTATACACACCCGAAACATTAGTCTACACACTCAGAGTCAAGAGATCTTACTGTAAAATGTGATATGCTCAACCTTCAGATATTCAGCATTACCATAAAATCTGATGCAAAATCATACTGAATTATGATGGTCTGATAATTAAAAAGAAAAGAAGACATGAATTCATCAACATAAAATCAAATTTAGCTTTCTTAATAATACATGTTTCTGGTCTTAATGTGAATTTACCATTAATTTACCAATTAATTTTCTTTGTAATCTTTCATCAAAATGCTTCTGACTTTTTCAGTCGGTGTGGGTTAGTGGTTGCTGTTAAAATATTGTATCTTGTCATTATTTTAGGCTCCTGTAGGTAATGCAGCCTTTCTCATTTATTAAATCATTTTATGCAGCAAAGCTTAACAATAATACCAAAAACGTAGTAATTTACACGTAGTGATACTTCCTTCAGTGTCAGTACATAGGATTTATTTCGGCCCATTTTAATACCCACAAGGTGAAAATTACACACTACTGTTCGAAAGTCTGGGGTACGTACAATTTTTAAAAAGAAATTAGTGCTTTTTTTAGTGCTTTTACATATCCAATATTTTTTGAGAAAATTATTATTATTTCCCAAATGACCATTTGAAAGGGAAATGTGCCTAATAGTGATGAAAAAGTGGTTTAATTATGTCAAATATTTTCCTTTTCATTCTGTTTGAAATATGACCCAGACATAATCGAATATCGAAGTTATGAAATTATTGAAAATTAATAATAATAATAATAATAAAAACAATAAAAACAAGCTTTGTGAATTTTAAACCGGCCTCAAGGAAGCTTGTAATGATTCTTATGAAACTCCAGACCAGGAGGGTCAGAGGTCATGCAGATGTTAACTGTCATATATATTATGCAGTTAGGTTGGGCTTTTATAGATTATTTTGCCAATTCTTTATACAAATGAGTTCTGATTCTCTGAAAACAAAGGATCATTTTTGGATCAAAAGTCATGTATAATGTTACAAAAGATTTCTATAAATAAATGCTGTTCTTTTGAACTTGCTATTTATCACAGAATCTCTTGAGCACCAAATCATCATATTAGAAAATGCAAATGTAAATTAATTATTGATCACCAATACTATTTAATAATGATGATTTCTGAAGGATCACGTGACACTGAAGACTTGACTAATTCAGCTTTTGATCACAGGAATAAATTGCATTTTATCATATATTCACATAGAAAACAGTTATTTTAAATTGTAATAATATTTCATAATTTTTACTGTATTTTTAATCAAATAAATTGTGAGGATAAGATACTTAATTTAAACGTTTAAACGGTGGTGTTGGTCTTAATGAATCTTCAAATATTGGTTGTGGTGAAATGTTGTCTTTTTTAACGTTTACACTCCTGTAAAACGCTCTTTTTACCGTCACATTCGTTTATGATAGATAAAATCACGTCTCATTTAACATGAATTCATGTTCACTTTGGTTTTAAGTAGAAAGTCTTGAATGAAATCAATCAACCCTTTAGGACTTACTTAATGATCCTCTCTCACAGTTATGTCTCTGATTTGTGTATAATCCATATAAAACGTCACATCTCCTGTGTGTGTGTGTGTGTGTGTCTCCTACAGGACGGAGGAAAGCTTCTGGAGGAAGGGATGTCCCACAACAGCAGTCTGGTGGAGTGTGACGTTCGGGTGACCGATGTGGGTCAGGACAGTTTGCTCTGCATCAATGAGGCTCTATCCGCCAATCAGGTCCAGGCCCGCAAACACAATCACAACTATGGTACCAATGCCGAAGTCTGAGCCGTACATGCTGTGCCTGCCAGCGAATCACTACAGGCCACTGAAAACTCATTCAAAAATAACCAAACCATTACTCTTAATAGAGCTATTATCCTTAAACAATGAAATTAAAATGCATTCGGACACCTTCAACATTTCTCACATTATTAGAAAATGGTTTAGAAAATGGTAATAAAATGATGAACTCAAATAAGTTGATATTTGACTGGTTTTGTCCCAAATCAAAAACAGCACATTCACAACCTCAAAAGTAAAAAGTTTGTAATAAGCATAGACTGTAAAAAATGCAGAAAAAATAAGCCGGCTACTTTTTTCCTAGGATAATGCACCATGTCACAAAGATCGAATCATTTCAAACTGGTTTCTTGAACATGACAATGAGTTCACTGTACGAAAATGGCCCCCACAGTCACCAGATCTCAATCCAATAGAGCATCTTTGGGATCCTTCATCCCACAAATCTCCATCAACTGCAAGATGCTATCCTATCAATATGGGCCAACAGAATGCTTTCAGCACCTTGATGGAATCAATGCCACATAGAATTGGAGGGATACTCCACTTTTTTTGCAAATAGGCTAATTTTACAACTCCCCCAGAGTTAAACAGTTGGGTTTTACCGTTTTCGAATCCATTCAGACGATTTTCTGATATTTAGAAGAATATCAGTAACCAGACAGTTTCTGGTCTCATTGACTTCCATAGTAGGAAAAAAATATATACTATGGAAGTCAATGAGACCAGAAACTGTCTGGTTACTGATATTCTTCTAAATATCAGAAGAATATCAGTGTTTAGAGGCCTGAGGCCTGCTTAGAAGTTAGGAAACTAATATGGAAAGTGTAATTTCTGTGTTCTTCGACGTTGAAAAAGCATATGATATGCTGTGGAAGGATGGATTACTTATAAAACTTGACAAATTAGGAATAAAAGGTAAATTATTCGGGTGGCTATAATCAATATGACTCCAGTGGGTTAATTAAGGCCTTCTGAAGCGAAACAATGTGTTTTTCTATGAAAAATATTAATATTTATAACTTTACAGACTATAATCTCATTTCTGGTCACGGCCGTATGACCAGACACAGACGGTGAACTATCACCTAACCTTTAATATCCTAATAAAATCAGACCGCATTTGTTATGAAGAAATGTAATAAAATGAAATTCAGTGTTTGTGTAAGTTATTTCTGTGCTATCATAATTTTTTTTTTTGCATAACCACTGAAACTGACATTTCTGAATCACCAAAGCAAGAGGAAAAAAAGTTCCATTCCGTTTGCAATTTTCATTTTAAGTCAACATGAACTCAAACGAAACCCGATGTACTTTCTTAATGTGTTTGTCAAAATAAATGTTATTGTACATTTGTGCTATTGTACATTTTGGGAGGGAAATTAAGCATTCTCTCATTTGGGCGTGGCCGTTTCAGTACCAGTCTGTTCCACAAATCATGAATCATCAATTCGCGAATAAATTTTCCACGTCCATTTGCAAACGCTATAACGACGTCTCCACACAGGATCCGTTATGGTGCAATGAATGGCGGTCATGACCGAGGCAGCCCTCGTTACGGTGGATAATCAGTACGGGGAAATACAGCGCGTCCTGATAGGCCGGTGGAGAAGGTGGGCTCTCCTCATTGGCTGACTGACCGGCCAAACATCGCGTGCTTTCCGTCGCGCAGCCGGGGTCGTTCAAGCTACTACTGTGACTTCTCCAAAGGCAGCTACGACGTGAACCGTACAAACGTCCCAGCGAGAACCGGCTGCCACTGAAGGGTAATCGCGGGCTGCTAGTGTTGCAGATGCTCAATGCGCTACGCGAGAATATCGACGAGCTGCTAATGGACCGATGGCAGCGTTCGCAGTTTTGCCGATATCCACCGAAGCCACTTCCACCGGCCGCGCCGATCCCACGAGACGCGGACGTGTTACAGCTGGACTGCTGTGCCAGATCCATTAGCACGGCTTCGGAGTAACTGGGAACGAGTTGTTGGTTGGAGCGAATGTGCCACTCAAGCTCTGTGCTGTCGATGGTGTTTACCCGAGGGATGCGGCGGCAAAACGGCCTCTCGTCCAGCGGCGTAACGGCGACATAGTCAAACCCAAAAAGCTTCTCCACGTGATAATGAAGGTACGCCGTGCGATACTCCGTTAGGACGCGCAACGGCCAGGATAAAGTCAGCGTCGCCGCCAACCAGAAGCTAAACTGCGACGCGTACCAAGGCAAGCGATCCGGATCTGCACACGCAAGCACGTATTCCTTAAACTCGACGTTTTTGAGGTGCATCCCCTCCCGAGCTTCCATGTAATCGTCAAGTCCTTCGTTTTCGGTGAAGAAACGCGCTCTTTGCGTCAGATAGGAGTTCTCGGACTCGACGTTAGCGAAACTGAAGCACTTGGTGAAGCGTAGCCTGGTCACCGGAAAGCTGTCGAGGCCTGTTAAGTGCTTGGAAATGTCTTTAACCCCGCAGTTCCCGTAATCAAACTCGGCCTCGGCGACGTGTGTGTTCACGCGCTCGTGGTAAACCTGCGTGGTCGTGTAAGCGTCCCCGTTGCGGTAGCGAGTTACTTGTCTCGTCCGGCGTACGTAGTGATAGCTAATAGCCTTCCACCAGATGCAAGGCGTGGCTTGTTGCATGCGATGCACGCGCTCGGCGATGCTCTCCAGGTCTACTTTGAACTGAAGTTCGTTGTGCGAGTTACAATGCCAACATTCGACTAGGTAAACCACGTAGAGCATGACGAGGAAAGCCACTGGGATGTAGATGTAGCCGTTTGAACAGGGACTGTCGTGGTACATCATGGACTTGCCCTTGAAGGCGCTGTCGAAGGAGAGGCGCGTGACCTTCGTGACCTGGCACCAGGTCATCGCGATCACGCAGCTGTACATTAGCAGCGACAGAAGAAGGCATTTCCAGTGTGAGTCGCGACACAGGGACTTGCTCAGGGACTGCTTCAAGGGTCGTTGCTGTAAAGATATAAACGAGAGAAAAGGATCTGTGAAGTAGATCTGTGGCACTTTTTCCCCCATAGAGAAAATTCAAGAAAGGATGTGTTATACTGTAAACAAAAAATGGGATGGACACTCTAAGGGCTTGTTTACACCAGATTTTAAAATGTATTTCGGTCGATCGGATCACAAGATAAGGGGGAGACATTCCTGTTTACACCGACGTTTTAATCCGTCTCTTTTTTTCGACTTTCATCCGGATTTCTATGAGGGACGCGTCTAAAGTATGGACTAATTCAGATCTTTCAATGTAATGGACAAAAGAAGCTTGCACAATTTACATATGAACGCGACTGGAGACGACAGAAAAACTAGTGATGTAGTACTCGAGTCTGGTCTCGGACTCAAGACCGATTTTTGCTTTCTCAGACTCGTCTCGGACTTGTTCCTTCAAAGACTCGGTCTTGACTCAGACTCGGACCACAGTGGGAGGAGAAGGACTCATAATTTTCAGACCGAGTCTTCGATATTTGTCTTTACAGCACATTTTTTTTATGTTCATTAAAAAAAAAACCCATCAGACTCAGTCTTGATTCGGACTCGGACCACAGTGGGAGGAGAAGGACTCATAATTTTCAGACCGAGTCCTCGAGATTTGTTTTTCCAGCACATTTTTTAAAAAAATGTTAATTTAAAAGTTAATTTCAAAAATAAACATCAGATTCGGTCTTGACTCAGACTCGACTGTATTTGAAAACCAACAGGCTCGGTCTCGACTCGAACTTGCTTCCTCAAAGACTCGGTCTTGACTCGGACTCGACCCTTAAAAGACTCGGTCTTGATTCGGACTCGAGTGTATTTGAAAACCAACAGACTCGGTCTCAACTCGAACTTGCTTCCTCAAAGACTCGGTCTTGACTCGGACTCGACTCTTAAAAGACTCGGTCTTGATTCGGACTCGAGTGTATTTGAAAACCAACAGACTCGGTCTTGACTCGGACTCGACCCTTAAAAGACTCGGTCTTGATTCGGACTCGACTGTATTTGAAAACCAACGGACTCAGTCTCAACTCGAACTTGCTTCCTTAAAGACTCGGTCTTGACTTGGACTCGACCCTTCAAAGACTCGGTCTTGATTCGGACTTGAGTGTATTTGAAAACCAACGGACTCAGTCTCAACTCGAACTTGCTTCCTTAAAGACTCAGTCTTGACTTGGACTCGACCCTTCAAAGACTCGGTCTTGATTCGGACTCGAGTGTATTTGAAAACCAACAGATTCGGTCTTGACTCGGACTCGACCCTTAAAAGACTCAGTCTTGATTCGGACTTGAGTGTATTTGAAAACCAACGGACTCAGTCTCAACTCGAACTTGCTTCCTTAAAGACTCGGTCTTGACTTGGACTCGACCCTTCAAAGACTCGGTCTTGATTCGGACTTGAGTGTATTTGAAAACCAACGGACTCAGTCTCGACTCGAACTTGCTTCCTCAAAGACTCGGTCTTGACTCGGACTCGACCCTTAAAAGACTCAGTCTTGACTCGGACTCGACTGTATTTGAGAACCATCAGACTTGTTCTTGACTCGGACTTGACCCTTAAAAGACTCGGTCTTGACTCGGACTCGACTGTATTTGAGAACCATCAGACTTGTTCTTGACTCGGACTTGACCCTTCAAAGACCCGGTCTTGACTTGGACTCGACTGTATTTGAAAATCAACAGATTCGGTCTTGACTCGGACTCGACTTTATTTGAGAACCATCACACTTGATCTTGACTCGGACTCGACCCTTCAAAGACTCGGTCTTGATTCGGACTCGAGTGTATTTAAAAACCAACAGACTCAGCATTTTTTTTATGTTCATTTAAAAAAAACCATCAGACTCAGTCTTGATTCGGACTCGGACCACAGTGGGAGGAGAAGGACTCATAATTTTCAGACCGAGTCCTCGAGATTTGTTTTTCCAGCACATTTTTTTTAAGTTAATTTCAAAAATAAACATCAGATTCGGTCTTGACTCAGACTCGACTGTATTTGAAAACCAACGGACTCTGCCTTGACTCGGACTCGACCCTTCAAAGACTCGGTCTTGATTCGGACTCGACTGTATTTGAAAACCAACAGATTCGGTCTCGACTCGAACTTGCTTCCTCAAAGACTCGGTCTTGACTCGGACTCGACCCTTAAAAGACTCGGTCTTGACTCGGACTCGACTGTATTTGAAAACCAACAGATTCGGTCTCGACTCGAACTTGCTTCCTTAAAGACTCGGTCTTGACTCGGACTCGACCCTTAAAAGACTCGGTCTTGATTCGGACTCGACCCTTCAAAGACTCGGTCTTGACTCGGACTCGACTGTATTTGAAAACCAACAGATTCGGTCTCGACTCGAACTTGCTTCCTCAAAGACTCGGTCTTGACTCGGACTCGACCCTTAAAAGACTCGGTCTTGATTCGGACTCGACCCTTTAAAGACTCTGTCTTGACTCGGACTCGACTGTATTTGAAAACCAACAGATTCGGTCTCGACTCGAACTTGCTTCCTCAAAGACTCGGTCTTGACTCGGACTCGACCCTTAAAAGACTCGGTCTTGATTCGGACTCGACCCTTCAAAGACTCGGTCTTGACTCGGACTCGACTGTATTTGAAAACCAACAGATTCGGTCTCGACTCGAACTTGCTTCCTCAAAGACTCGGTCTTGACTCGGACTCGACCCTTAAAAGACTCGGTCTTGATTCGGACTCGACCCTTCAAAGACTCGGTCTTGACTCGGACTCGACTGTATTTGAAAACCAACAGATTCGGTCTCGACTCGAACTTGCTTCCTCAAAGACTCGGTCTTGACTCGGACTCGACCCTTAAAAGACTCGGTCTTGACTCGGACTCGACTGTATTTGAAAACCAACAGATTCGGTCTCGACTCGAACTTGCTTCCTCAAAGACTCGGTCTTGACTCGGACTCGACCCTTCAAAGACTCGGTCTTGACTCGGACTCGACCCTTCAAAGACTCGGTCTTGATTCGGACTCGACTGTATTTGAAAACCAACAGATTCGGTCTTGACTCGGACTCGACCCTTAAAAGACTCGGTCTTGATTCGGACTCGACTGTATTTGAAAACCAACAGATTCGGTCTCGACTCGAACTTGCTTCCTCAAAGACTCGGTCTTGACTCGGACTCGACCCTTCAAAGACTCGGTCTTGACTCGGACTCGACCCTTCAAAGACTCGGTCTTGATTCGGACTCGACTGTATTTGAAAACCAACAGATTCGGTCTTGACTCGGACTCGACCCTTCAAAGACTCGGTCTTGATTCGGACTCGACTGTATTTGAAAACCAACAGATTCGGTCTTGACTCGGACTCGACTGTATTTGAGAACCATCACACTTGATCTTGACTCGGACTCGACCCTTCAAAGACTCGGTCTTGATTCGGACTCGAGTGTATTTGAAAACCAACAGACTCAGTCTCGACTCGAACTTGCTTCCTCAAAGACTCGGTCTTGACTCGGACTCGACCCTTAAAAGACTCAGTCTTGACTGGGACTCGACTGTATTTGAGAACCATCAGACTTGATCTTGACTCGGACTTGACCCTTTAAAGACTCGGTCTTGACTCGGACTTGACTGTATTTGAAAACCAACGGACTCAGTCTCAACTCGAACTTGCTTCCTCAAAGACTCGGTCTTGACTTGGACTCGACCCTTCAAAGACTCGGTCTTGACTCGGACTTGACCCTTTAAAGACTCGGTCTTGACTCGGACTTGACTGTATTTGAAAACCAACGGACTCAGTCTCGACTCGGACTTGCTTCCTCAAAGACTCGGTCTTGACTCGGACTCGACCCTTAAAGACTCGGTCTTGACTCGGACTCGACCCTTCAAAGACTCGGTCTTGACTCGGACTCGACCCTTAAAAGACTCGGTCTTGACTCGGACTCAGCATAGGCGGTCTCGTACCCATCACTAAGAAAAACACACTGAGATCATCAGCTTTAGTTTCTGCTCTGACAGCCTCAAGTCCAGCCGAATGCTGTAAGTGTGTTTGGTACATTATTCGTTTTCAAATCAAACTTGGGTGTAAATCAGGAGTAAATGGGGTCGAAAATGGTTTGTGTAGTGTAAACGCGTCGCTCATGTGGTCAAATGTGTTCAAACAGTCACAAAAGACAACAACTCTCCAACAACGCTGATCTAATGCGGGAACATTATGGGAAGAGCTCTAGCCAGACGGGATTTAAAATGTCGACTGAAGACCCCCAAGTTTGGTTTGAAGACGAAAAATGTACCAAACACAATGTCCTCTTTCCATTCCTGATGTCTAACACACACTCACAGTGTTCGGCTGGTCTTGCAACTGTCAGAACAGAAACTAAAACTGATGACCTCCAGGTGTTTTTCTGTCATCTCCAGTCGTGTTCATATGTAAATTGTGCAAGCTTATTTTGTACATTAGATAGAAAGACTGAAAAAAGCATTCATTCACCCGCCCATAGACGCTTCCCTCGTAGAAATCCGGATGAAAGTGGAAAAAAAGACATCAGCCAATAGCAAACCACCACCATCCAATCAATTCCCAACAGAGAAAATCAAGCCCCGCCCACATTTGTTCTTGTTCCAGAAAGCGTTTCACTTTATATATGTGCATCGCAACTTCTGTGTCATCACATTGCCTGATTTAGTTGACTTCAGGTGCCTGGAAGTTGGTGCTTGTTGCATATATTTATAATAAGTTTGCTTCTTATGTTTTTCTTGAGTATGAGATACTTAACATGGCAGAAGGCATTAAATAATTGATAACGTTCCTCCATAATTATCCGCTCTACCTTCTAGCCCGGCCCCTGGAGCTCTCAGCGGGAACGAGAGCACTCGTGACAAGTAGCCCTTATGAAGTATTTCTCAGCCATTAATATACAATGCAATTATTTTTTTAGTATTTCAGTTTCATCACATTCTTTCAAGTATTTGATCAATAATATGAAGTCACTGAGGAACCGATGAATTTTAGGTTGTATGAGGACATTCTGCAGAAAAAAGATTGGTTTATGAAACACTAACATAGTGGTGAACACTAACAGTGCTTTATCAAGTATAATAATAGTGTAAAAAGTAGCATGTTTAAAGGAGTAGTTCACTTTAAAAAAAACTTTTGCTGATAATTTACTCACCCCCATGTCATCCAAGATGTCCATGTCTTTCTTTCTTCAGTCGAAAAGAAATTAAGGTTTTTTGATAAACATTCCAGGATTTTTCTCCATACAATGGACTTCAATGGGGTCCAAATTGTGACTCTCCAGTTCAAACTTGTTCATCAAAATGAACAAATCTTTTTTCAAGTCATTTCATTTGTTGAATCAACCTAATGACTCGAAAATAGATTCGTTCATTTTGATGAACGAGTTTGAACAGGAGAGTTACAAACCCGCATCACAGAACAGACCAAGGCGAGCATTTGAGCTTTTAAAACTTAAACTTTTTAATTTATTTTTTAAATGAGCGATCGTTTCGCTAGATAAGACCCTTATTCATCGTCTGGAATCGTTTAAAGCCCTTTGAAGCTGCACTGAAACTCTCATTTGGACCTTGAACCGTTTGGTCCCCATTGAAGTCCATTATATGGAGAAAATCCTGGAATGTTTTCATCAAAAACCTTAATTTCTTTTTGACTGAAGAAAGAAAGACATGGACATCTTGGATGACATGGGGGTGAGTAAATTATCAGCAAAAGTTTTTTAAAAGTGAACTAATCCTTTAACTCGATTTAGTGTGGGCCATATAAACAGATAAAGTGTTAATTTCCACACTAGTGTGAAAGTCATGCCATTAAATGTTGCATACATTGCGAAATATTAGTATCTTCCTCAGTTTTTTTGTCCTGTTTTCCAATACAAATATCTAAACATGTATCAATCAAGATACATTCACTTGAAATAATTATGAATTTAAATGAGTTTGCATGTGGAATAAACCAAAATAAACAAAAAATGTATTGCTTAAAATAAAATAACATTAACTTCAACATTTCTCATTTTTATTAAATTGAATTACTAAATAGATTGACAAAATTACTAAAACTTAAAATGACAATGAAAACAGAAAATATAACATGAACTATACTTAAAAATATTAACAAACACTACTAGTATATCAGTGATATTTAAATAACCCCGCTGGGTTAATCTGACACTAACAGATGTGTGTGCTTGTTAAATCCCAAACACAACTTCAGAAACCTCATTGACCTTATAATTGGGTGGGTCTTTAAATATAATATAATTTTGTAAACAGGTTATAGTTAAAATCACTTTTCTTTGAGTGCACGTATTCATGCACATCATTCGTAGGCCCTTTGAAACGTAATTACTGAATAAAGAGCTTCATCGACCCAAAGGGGAAGCACTTCTGAGGAAATACTGAACACAATAGTTAATCACCATCTTTAATCAGCAGCCAATGATGTGTTCAGCATGAAACAAAGCCTCTGTAATGTGCTCAAGCCCAAACCCTGAGGCGCTTCCAGGCAAGATATAGAGAGGATTCTCTGCTGGGATCGTCCTGTATATTTTGGGACGTGTGAGCGAGGTGTCCCACTTTCATTCAGACTATTATAGTGCTCTTGAGTTGGTCATTTTAGTAACGTGACATAACAGACAATGACTTTCTGGGGTTTAGTTGCAGTCAGGATGGCCCTTAACATGCTCCTAAACATCATTGTGTTAATAAAGAGTATAATCTTTTTATTATTTGAAGACATTATTGTGGCAAATACATTCAGGTCCCTCTTTTTGCAGCCAAGTCATTATGAAAATATATGATCAATATATGATTACAAACAACTTAAATATGACTTAACAGTTTTTGGGTGAATCTCATAAAAACATGCAGGTCATATTCACACCCCAAAAAATTAATTATTTATTTAAATAAAAGCATACAATCATATTTTATAGCATCTTTATTCTGTTTCACAACATGCAAGATAGAGAAGCAAATACATGCAATATGATTAATGTTTAATAGATGGTTATGTGTAGCCTATATAAATCTATAGCTAAAATAATATTTTTTTTTTATAAAATTATTTTAAAATAGGCTACATTTTTAAGGAATTTTAATTCATGTTATTTTCTTAATCAACCAAACTATATATTACTCATATATATATATATATATATATATATATATATATCTATATTTGCCACACAACGTGACTTTTTTGTTGTTGTGGCAAAAACAGGCAGTAATCGCACCAAAATATTACCAGTGAAAATGAATGCCCAATTATTTATGCCAATTTCGACTACTATAACTAATATAAATGTAAAACATTATTAAAGACAAGCAAACAGTCGAGTCAGTAATAAAATAATAATCAAATTACAAACAAAAGCACAAATAAATACAATATAACGAAAGATACAAATCAAATGAAGAGTGCTTTTCAATTTCATATAAATGCTAAGTATTTTAAGAAAAAATAATTATAATTTATTTTATCAATTTGATTGTGTGGTGAAATATGACTCTTAATTTTTATGCCATCTATTATTACAGTAGCCTACAGTAGATGGATATGAGTCTTTGTGTATTCACATGCACAGCATGTCTCAATTAAACATTAATATTATTGCATATATTAGCTTCTCTATCTTGCATGTTGTGAGACATACAAAATAAAGATACTATTAATTATCTTCAGTCGCGGTTTCTAACAAAGGTTTCCCTCAGCGGATCAAACTCACCAGTTCCCGCGGCGCGTCCGTGTGCTCGTGCTCGTGCAGGACATCAGAAGCACTGCTGTCAGTGACCGGAGCTGCTGGAGACATGATGAAGAAGAAGATGAAGATACTGGAACATGAACATCCATCATAGAGGATCCTCAGCGAGGAATCATCCTGGCCACGAGATCAGCAACACACAGCACGCGCACTCTGTGTCCTCAGAGTCTGAGAAGAACTAAACACTTGCGGGATCGTTGGCTGTCCACATCATTTGCTTTAAGGCTGGTGCGTTGGAAATAAAAGAAGCCAATCTGACCCACAGCGAGATCCAGAAATCGTATGGAAAATGAAGCAGCAGCGAAGCGCATGAACGCGGAAAGAATGACAATGAGGCGCGAGATGCATCCACGCGGATGCGCAGCACAGATCCAGGTAACGGGGGCGAGAGAGGGAGAGAGAGTCTGAGAGAGAGAAGGAGAGAGAGAGAGAGAGAGAGAGAGAGAGAGTTGTTTATCTACCCCAGTCGTCTCTGCTGAGGAATCGAGAATCGTACGTGACCTTGACTCTATGCATGTGGTTTCCATTTGCAAAACATTGGGAATTCAACAGTGTTTGGCACAAAGGATGTTTTAGGAATATTGTGCTTTTCCTCATGCAGCCAATGTCTTTGACAACAATGATCAAAACTAAAATACAGTGGATATGCAGTCATTATATATGCTGTTGTACTCATTAACTCAAATTGTTGCCATCATAGGTCATATGACTTGTTCATCTGAAGAATGAAAAGACCTGTGACAAACTGTTGTGGAGTTATTTGACTTTTCAAATGTAAAAATGAGCCATTCAAACTTTTTTTTATTATTGAAATAGTATCAATTTACAAACACAAATAGGGGGAACCCATTCAAACATCAATCACGCCTTTACAGAATTTAAAGACCGACTACAGCGCCACCTGCTGGTCATTGATGATACTGTCCGTTCTGTTTAACGAAACATCTCCCAACAAGTACGATAGAATTGAATATAGGTGGATTTTTAAAATACAAAATCTATGCATTCATGTGCACGTGTGATGAATTGTTTTACTTAATTTACACATCCAGAGCAAGTTGTTAGTAGTAGGCCTATGCAAAGCATGCTAACACCAACCAACACAAAAGACTATAGTTCCATACTATTGTTTAATTTGACATATTTCTGGTCCACCAAAACTTACAACAGACAGACAAGTCACAAAACAATGCATGTAACATAAATGCTCTCCTCTAAAATTATGAGATGCAATCTTGGAAACCCATACATGATGTGTTGCAATTCAGGGACTTTAATAACGCCTGTCAGATCAAGTCACAGGTTGTTCAAGGAAGTTCTTGGCAGCCCAAAATACAGAACAGGTTTGTATTTGAGGGCTTTCAGGAGATTCCATGTGTGTTTGGATTGGATCGATAATGATATGGGTTTTTGCCACTCCCTGTGGGGAATTCCCACTGTAGACGGATTGAAAGCCGCATTGACTCCGCCTACAACACCGCTTCCTTCATCACATCACAGACACATGCATTTTCATGAACTTACAGAGTTTGTCTGGTGTTTAGCTCAACCTGAAACTTAACGTGAAAGAGCCATTGGAAAGTCAGGGAGTATCTGAGGAGGATAGCGGAGTTACCAGAGGTGGAATGAGAAACAAAAGCGAGTGTCTCTGGTGTCATAATGTCACGGTGATTTTACTTTGTTTCACCATTTCATTGCTTCATTGAAGATACGCATCGAAGCTCCGAAATGTCGCGAAGCGGCGGTGAGAAAGAACGCAAATTTGAATTGGACAATCGGATTGACTCCGGTATCGAATCGATATCTCTCTCCAGAGATTACGGGAGTTTGGACAGTTCTGATGAGAAGGATAAACTCGGCACAGAAGAGCGACTGGACTCTGCTTACGCTTCTTCGTCGTTAACAGTGGACAGTTTGGGGGATTTAATCGAGGAATGCAGCATTTCTAAATGTGAACGCACGACTGACTGTGAATACACTGAAGAGGAAGTGAATTTCCTAACCACTGTTACAGACGATGGAGACACGTACGTTTAAATTTCATTGATACGTTTCTGAAAGTTCAAATGCGTGTTTTAATGTGTAAATATGGGGTAAAAATATTTGTGAGTTTAATTAAAGTGGTTTAGGGCAATAAGATCCCGATTAAAGGGTGTTGTTGACAACTTCGCGCGCCGCGGAGTAATACACGTCCGATAAAACATCGTTTTTACTGAACGGATTCTCATTCTACGTAGTACTTTTAGGTGTATACTTGCAGATTTTTATTTATGTGGCATCTTTTCCTGTCATGCAGGACATACGCAAATATCTCGACTCTAATAGTCATGCTTACCATGAATAATTTTGAGACTAAAGTCATTAAAAGTTGCATTTTCAGTTGTATTTGGGAAAACCACTTGAAACGTGTGATTCTAATCGGGTTTCAGTCGTGCTTATAATCTATCTAATCTATAAAATCTAATCACTGCAGCCCCTAAATGTCGATTTTTACATTGCATCGTTCTGTTATGGCAGTGACTATTTTTTCTAGCGGAAGAATTGTGGTAAATGGATTTTTAACTAAAAAAAAGTGTACTTTTTTATAAGATGCTCTCATTTTATATAAGCAGTAATGCTCGTGATTTATAATCAATCTCAAAGTGATTACAGAATATAGACCTATTTGTGCTTAATTTAAATCCTGCAGTATTGACCAATCAGTATCCAAGGCTGGAACTCATTTATTATGTGTTTATCTTTATATTATTGCTCCATTTTCAGATTAAAGTGCAAGGCTGGTGGATAGATAGATATGGCATGGAGGTGAATAGAGTTCAGAAAGTGTGCAGCATGTTTCTTTAAACCTTTACAAACATTTAATGGCCTGGATTTAATTCAAGGGCAAGGCATTCACTCATCATTTACCAAATGTTATGATCATACAGAGAGTGAATAGGAAGTCATTATTAATCTGGCACTCAGTGTAAAACGTTTATTGAGGATGAAAGTTTGAAGTCCGTGTTGTTGAGCTCTCGTTATTAAAGCCCATGTAACGGTAAATCAAGATTATGTTTGAATAACATTGCCTTTCATTCCTTTTGCAGTACAAGAGCAATCAAAGCTTGTTTTTTTACGGTCAGAAACTGTAAAAATGTTGGTGAACATGAAACTAACACACATTTTTAAAGCTGATTCATTTTAACGCCTGCTTTAGTGTGCTGAGTGACACATTCTCATGATGTGACAGATGAAATTTTGTAGTTTTCAGTCAGTTAACAGACGTCTAGAAACTGGATCTGCTGTTTATGGCGCATGAGAAGAAAGCAGAAGTATGCAGTGGAATTCCCCTCGTCGGGCCAGAAAACACGCTATGATGGTGGCTTTTGGAAAGTGCAAAGCATTTGTTTTAAACCCATATTCATGTGCTTTTAATGCACTGTATATTTAAGAGCGCATGTCACGTAAACATGTTTATGCAAGCAGTGACCTTTACACCAGGCCGCGGTTCAACCGTAACATATATGAGCATAAACGTACGCAAACACTCACCACACAAGTGGGCACGTACACAACGTAGTTAATGTCACCCTGCTTTCATTTCTTTCTCGGTTTTGAGTTTTGAAAGTGACAAACCAGGATGCTATTTCAAGAACATCTTGCATTGTGATGCATCTTGAATCATAGTGGGCTGCCATGGTTTACCTTTGGCCTGCTTTTGTTGCTGTTGCAAAGAAAAAAACTTTTCCCTGAGTGTCATCAAGAGTAAAGAACATGCTTCTAAATACCTAAAAGTAACGCCACGGGCCATGAAACACTCTTAAAGTCCCACTTTAGGGATTCACTTCCATCCTGTCAGTTTTATATTACAGACACAGCATCTTAATCCATATTATACACAGCTCAGAAACCTTTTAAATGTGTTGTTCACCCAAAAAATGAAGTATTTTTTTTTTTTATCATACAATACACTCTCATTAATATTATACATTTACTGTTAAAAAATAAAACTGTAATTTTTACAGTAAAAAAAACGGCAGCTGTGGTTGCCGGAACTTTACCGTCAAAAATACTGTAGCGCTGTTATTGGTTTTACAGACTTAACTTAAAATTACAGTAATAAACTGTATTTCATTTTCTGATATAATGCTAATTTACCAATCTATTGAAGAATTGAGATCTGTTTTGTACCATTGTAATACACTGACAATCAACTATGATCACAACAGTGATGAGTCACATGATCAATCTAAGCTCACTACAAGCAGTTTTCCATATAGAGAATTAATACTTATATACAGAAGCTGCATTTATTCAAACAAACATTAAACACCATCATGGTAACACACATGAAATTGAAAAACATGAAAAAAAAAAATGCATTAGTTTAACAACATTAAATGTAACATAAAATCCTAATGTACAAAAACAAGAAAACTATGAAGAAACAGTTATTTCAACAAAAATACATCAAATGTGAAGTGTCACGCAGGGAATTGTGGGAATGTCAATTTACGTTTTTTCACTGTAAATTATACAATGAGTTGTTCTTTTTCACTTTCAAAAACTGTAAATTTAACGGTATTTTACAGTAAAATTACATTAAATGTACCGTTAGACCTATCACAGTTATTTACCGTATATAGTACGGAAACTTTCTGTTAACAAATTAACAGTTTTGCGTTGTAGCCGTTAAAATCACGGTCTTTTACCGTTAAAATCACGATTATTTTTACAGTGTACCTTTTTTTCCCCTTAAAGCATATTTCTACCTCAGGCCCTGTTTACACGAGAACGCTCGCGGGTGAAAACGTAAAAATATTTTATCGGATGTGCCTTTCGTTTACACGGCAACGGCATTTTGGCGGCTTAAAAACGCAAAAAAGTGAAACCACCCTCCAGAGTGGAAATCTTAAAAACGCTCCACCGCCGCGTTCCCATGTAAAGGGTAAAAACGCTAAATTCTGCTTGACAGTGAAGGTTGTACGCAGGCGCGCGGACTTGGTGTCGTTGTGTGGCAGTGCTTCACATCGCCACCTAGCCGCCTGGAGTGCATACTACATTGAATTTCACACACTTTTGCGTCACCATATGCACGCGGATTTTCCACCCAAAACGCTCGTCTAAACGCAGAATAAAAAGTTCAGAATCGTTTCCGTGTAAACATAGCCTTAGAGTAGCATTATATACCTCAAGGCACTACTATGAAACCTTTAGGGGTAAACAAGGAAAGGTATAAATATGTCATTTTAAAGGTACTGCCTCAGTTTTACCTTTTTTTTTTGTGTGTGCATATTTTAATAATTATCCACTAAACCGCTACAGACTCTTTTTATGATTCTAATAATAATGCCTTTTTGGAGCACTATTCCCATTAAATGGGTACGAAAGCCATTGTAATAATCTCTCTTGAGGTGCAATACATTTGTGGGTAAACTAAACCTGTTCATTTCACATGCATCGAAAAACAATTTGAATCATGATCGTTTCACCACAATGGGATTGATGACACCGAGGTTGTTCTCACATTATTTACATGCTGAAACCACTTGCTTCTACCTGTTTCCTTCTGGCTTACTGTAAAAGGAAAG